AGCCAATAACTTTATAAGACATGCATTATCAGTGCCAAGGAACTGATGGAGGGGGAGGGTCACCGGTGTAGATACTCAGAGGGGAGTCACAGCACTCACAGAAGCCTAACATTGAATATCTGCTCTTTGCCAAGTGCCTCACTCATTGTATTTGGTTTCATTGAATACAGTGATCTGTTGGGCTATAAAATTTTCAATTTTTCAGATGGAGAGACTAGGGATTAGGAAGTGATGTGTTTGGCAGAAGGTCACAGAGAAGACTTATTGGGTCTTGTTCTCTTTCCCACGGTCTGTGTTCTTTCCACTCTACCTCCATATTTTTACAGGAACTCTGGTGCTGGAGAGTAGAAAAACTAAAGGGAATGCCTCATTCCTGGCAAGGCAGACTGATATAGCAAGATGGCATTTGTGATCTTATAATCTTACTTAAGTTTGTACACACAAGTTTATTAATTATCACAGTTTGTCTCTGACAGTCTTTTTGGCTCATGAGTGAATAATACATTTGTCTTATAAAGTATAATCAAACCTCAGGGACCTTTGCAGGGACTCACCAGCAGCCAAAGCAATGTTCGTGCATGGTGATGATTACATGTAAATACAATCTCACATTCTCATTTAAGATGGAAGAGCATTTAATGGAACTTCAGTATTTTTCTTTTTTTGCTGTTGTGAAGATCCAGTCTGGATAGTGATGGGTCACTGAAACATGGTCATCTCTCTTCTGCACTTGAGTCACCCTCAGGGTAAAGCTGTTCAGAGAAGATAATAAAGGCTGAAGTATTTTGTAGTAGTAAGGCTACTTGTTCATTTCCTGGCTGCCTAGACTCCCGAAATAATCACACAGAAACTGTATTATTTAAATCACTGCTTGGCCCATTAGCTCTAGCTTCTTATTTCCTAACTCTTACATCTTAATTTAATCCTTCTCCATTAATCCATGCATCACCATGAGGTCGTGGCCTACCAGCAAAGTTTCAGCACTTCTGTCTCCCATGGCAGCTCCATGGCTTCTCTCTGATTCCACCTCCTTTCTCCCAGTATTCAGTTTAGTTTTCTCCGCCTACCTCTATTCTGCCCTGCACAGGCCCAAGACAGTTTCTTTATTAACAATGGTATTCACAGCATATAGAGACGAATCCCACATCAGTATTTCAAATCCTCTTGTGTTCAGGCCCTGTTACTTAGGCTGGGGGGAAAGTGGCCAAAGGGCAACACTACACCATCATTTTACAGTTTTGGAAGCTAATCTCCAAAGGCCAAATACCTGAATTCACTGGTTGTTTTATCTTCTTGACACACTGAGGTGTAAAATCACATTCTTCCTTGACACTTTCATTCCCTTCTGTTTTCTTTCTCTTTTTCTCACCCTTTATCTTTCCTTTTCTCATTCTCTCACTTTTCTTCTATCAGTCCAGCTAAACCCCATGTGTCAATACTACTTTATGGCTCAAATCCTTCTACTCCTGCTGTGTCTGTGTTGCTGCCGAGTCTGGTCCTATCAGCATTGCATTCCCCTCCCCATTTTCTAATATATAACTGACTTGTCAAAAAGCCATGACTGTTATTCTAGAAGGAAACAAAGACAAACATAGTTATATTTGCTGTATGCCAACTCTGTCTGTCTGTCTGTCTGTCTATCTATCTATCTATCTATCTATCTATCTATCTATCTATCTATCTATCATTTATCTATCTATCATCTATCTATTTATCTATCTATCTATCATCTGTCTGTGTGTCTGTCTATCTATCTATCTATCTATCTATCTATCTATCTATCATCTGTCTGTCTATCTATCTATCTATCTATCTGTTTGTTATTAGATTGAAGAACCCTGCAGATATACAAGAGTGGGAGAACAAATCTGTACTTATGCAATGCTTCCCCCAAATGCAGGTACTCCCATCACTGCACAAATGAGCCAGACTGTCCCCAGTCAAAGACGTCTCTACACTCAAGGAGTACTATCTTCTCAGCACTGAATACACATGAATTCATTGTGCCTTTTAGCATGCAAAAAATCAGAGACTTGCCGAAAGATGCTTCAGCTTGGAGCTGAAAGGCTTCAAAGGCTTATAGTCCCATCCCCAGGCTTGGAAGTGCATTGGTGGTGTGATGATAAGAAGCAGCCTGGCTTGGCATGGGGGTACCACATGCTTTCAGGGTTTGCATTTCCAACTGTAGAGCAAACACAGTCCCTGGTGCTCTGACTTTACACAGGTTATCTTTGCATTCAGAGATAGCTTCATTTCCACTGGTTCATTCCACACTGGTTCAGTTTGTTCTGTATTCAGGAAACTTCTCTCTCTCTCTCTCTCCCTCTCTCTCTTTAGAATCACAATGACTTTTATCACTGTTGTGAAATTGAATTCTAAGAAGTGTATTAGTGTAATGATACACTGTGGTTGAAATTATTGAGAGTTAACCTCATAACTCTTTAAGCTTTCTGTAGTAGATGAACTGGAAGAAGTGTTTCCTTCTTTGCCTTTCACTACTTAGACAGTCTCTCACTGAACCTGGAACGAGGCTGATGAGGAGCAAGCCCTAGGGTTGTTCATATCCCACGCTCACACTCCTACCCACCCCAGGCTCACACCTTGTGATGGGGTTACAGGTTGTATGACTGCATCCAACTTTTTGCATGGGTGATGGAGATTTGAACTTGGGTCTTTATATTTGCACAGAACTTTCTCTCTGGTGTAGGAGGCAAGTTTGGCTTTCACCGTGTAATCATGGCAAGCCTTTTTTTTTTTAAAAAAAATATTTGACCAATAAGTATGTCTATAAAATAGAAAATCAGACTTCGGAAAAAGAGTAAACTCTGACCTTTGTGATCCTTGTGGGAGAGTTAATGCATTATTCAGGAATGAAGATGTCATCAAAGTATACAAACAGGTGCTGCTTCTTAGCTAAATTCTTTCTCAGAAACTCCCCCAGGGAAGCTTGTTTAATAAAGCACATCTTCTACCTTTTCCTTCTACGAACATCTTTACTATAGAGAAAACACCCTCACCGGGGATAAAAGGAACTTTGTAGGAAATAACCCAATACCGATCACTGAGCCTTAGCAACACAATAAACAAGAAGCCATTTGAGTGTTCAAGTTTGCAAACTTATATACAAGCAATATTATCAGTTACATGTTTTGCTTTGTTCTCTCAATCAGATGTGTAGCTTCTGAGAGCCAGTTCTTTCTGTGTTCAGCCTTCACAGCTTGGGAACAATCTAGAAGAAACACCAAGTTTTAGGGGAAGCTGGGAGCTTGCCCCATAGCCCTACTTACTGTCTCCTCTCCCCTCTGTGTTCTTGGCATAGGCAGTAGATTTCTGCTTGTGTCTCCTCCTCCAAAGAAAACAAGAGACCAAGCTACCAATCCGGTTTTTATTTTACCAGAGGGAAGAGAGCTTTGTTACTTTTGCCTCATATTCCCAGAAGAGAAACTAAATACAATCAATGTGCAAATTTAGGAATTAAGTAGTTTGCTGGTTTCTTCTTTTTTACATGCTTGTGTTCTGAAGAACCAGTGACCTAGTTTGGAAACCAAAGAGTTATTCTTAATAAGAACGAACTATAACTCTAAGGGGTTATGCGCTGGTGAGCGACTTGAATTCAGTGAACATTTCTGTTCGGTTGCCATCTTATTTCCAGGGCCAACCTCCTTCCAGAGCCCTTGTCTCCTCAGTTCTAGATCTATGTTCCTTTATTAAAGATTTTTATCGTGTGTGAGATATGTGTGCAGACGTCATAGCACGTGTGTGGAAATCGAAGGGCAACTGTGTGGAGTTGATTCTCTCAGCTTTTATGTGGATTCCAGGGATTGATCTTTAGGCTTGAACAGGCAAAACAATTTTACTGTCATATGCTCCTGTTAACTCTGTGGAAGGGAGTTTTGTCCAGGCACTCACAGCTCTATGCTTGCTTGACCTAAGAGGTAAGTGATACCCGAGTTGCACACCAAGATGGCTCCTCACTGAACTGCTGAGATAGTGTTTTGAAGTGTCAGTTTGCTAATGTCACTGGGCTCTGACAATTGTTACATACCCGTAGAGTGATAAAGCCAAAGGTAAGCAGAAGCTTGAGCAGTTCTAGACCAAGTCAGGTGACCATGAGACTCACACGGCTGTCTCTGTCCCTTTATTAGCTCTAAATGCACCTTTAACAAAGGTTGAGTCTTCTAAATCTGACTCGCCCCCATCAAGACAAGCATGTTCATGGGAAATTTGGATCGATGTGGGGAATATTACTAGAGTTGTATTTCCCCCTTTAAGAAACCGGTGAGCCACATGCTACAAGTGTTCAAAATTCAATGATAGTCTATGACAGAAACACACAATAGGAAGCTTTTAAATTGAAATTTTTCTTTCTCATTGGAAAACCACCCCTTCTCTTCATTGTCTTGGTGGACTGCTTGTTCTGGACACAGCCTGGGGTTACCTCCAGCAGTGACGACTTCTTGGGTGCTCCAACATAACTGTCCTCCCTCGGACTCTGTGCATGGAGAATTCTGATAGAGCATAAAGCACAGAAGTGCAGAGAGAGTGAGGCCTCATGGGAAGAGGGAGAGGAAGAATGTCCAGAGCACCATGTGTCTTACTTGGAGACTAGCCGATTCTTTGGTATCTCTCCTTCTCATCCCTCGTCTCTGAGCCAATAAAATAAAAGATTTTCTGTTTTTCTTAAGGGAGTTAAAATGAATTTTCTTCTGGTTCTAACCCACACAATCCTGACAAATTAAAAATTAAAAGTTCTATTAGTGGCTACCATGCTTCCTCTGCATGCAGGGGAGAGTTTTCATAAGAACCTGCTGTTGGGGGAGGCTTAGCTTGCTCTTATGTCCTAAACTAACCCATCTCCATTAATCAGTGTATTGCCATGTGGCTGTGGTTTACCGGGTAAAGTTCCTTCCGGCGTCCGATGTCTGTCTCCGGTGGGGCTACATGGCTTCTCGTTGACTCTACCTACTTTATCCCAGCATTCAGTTTAGTTTTCCCTCCTAGCTCTGTTCTGCCCTATAACAGGCCAACACAGCTTCTTTATCCATTAACCAATAAAAGCAACACATATACAGAAGGATTTCCCACACCCACCTGCCCTGAGCTGCATAATATTTTCAAGTTGTCAGTGTCCCATGTTAGTCATATTTACATCACTGTAAGATATTTGAGCAATAAACAACCCTTAAAGAAGGAAGGTTTGTTTTTAGACCCTGGTTCCAGAGGTTTCGACCCATTGTCAATGTGCTGGGACATCATGACAGGGACCTGTACTGTGCTTCTGCATACTTGCAGCAGGTAGAAATCAAAGTGACAGATACAAAGGGACAACGCACCTATCAAAGGGATGCTCCCTGACCTAACTTCCTTCGGTGAGGCCCCATCTTCCTGAGGGTCCATCACCCCCCAACAGTTTCTACACTGGGATCAAGTCCTCAACACATGCGACTTTGGGGGTACACAGAGGTCTGTCTAGATGAATATACCCTGGGCAGTGGACCCCAGATAAAGACTTGCCTAGAATATTAGAACTTTGATCTACTTACATTGACATTGATTCATGTGGCAGAATTGGGATAGACAGTTTGATAACTAGCTGGATTCCTGACTTATACTGACCACGAGGGCACAAAAAGCATAAACTAACTTAGATTTTTAAATATAAATTATCAACAAGATGGCTCCCCTTCCTCTAGTGCTTTTGCTGTTACAGAGGGGATTATGCCAGGGCCTTTATTTATGTCCATTAGTATTTGATTTAATTCTGATCTTTAAAAATTCTCCTTTTGGTGTTTTAGAATGTAATTGATTTCTTAGTGTGTCCACTAAAGTAACTTTTGTTTTCTTTTAATTACTAGTTTAACAAACAACAAAGTGGGAAAAATCATTAATTTTTAAATGTACATGGTCAGGGTGTACTTTTAAAGAAACCACTGAGGTGTGGTCAATATCCATTTAGGAACTTGCAGAAGGAAGTGTATGGCTAGGCCATGGTCTGCCTCTTGTGGACCCCAGTTCCCTTTCATGACCACCAGAACACTGTTCACTGTGGCTGTTGGCACTTCTTCCAACCTCCAGGGTCCAATGAGGACATTAATGTTCTCCGATCACTTCTTCAGTGCTTTCCGTGGTAATTTTGGGAGTGCCCAAAGGCTTCTACTCATTTGAAGCTACTTAACATTCTCTGTATGCCTCCAAATCTCCCCGGGCCTTCGGTTTCTTCTCGTTTGAATCACATTATCCTTGAGGCAGAAGATAGGAACAAAATAAAAATGTAGTTATTAACTTCCCGCAGCAATCACATGATTAAAACCCTCCTTGGTGTATCATCTTCCCCCCGTGGATGTTAAAGGAGACAGAATGGATGTTCTGTTTTGGTTTCCTACTGATCAAAAGCAGTGTGGGAGAGGAAAGCGGTTATCTGACTTCCATTTCTAAGTCATGGTCCATCACAGAGGGAAGTTGGGCAAGAACTGAAGCAGGAACCTGGAGGCAGAAACTGAAGCAGAGAACATGTACACATGCAGCTTACTGATTTGCTCCCAGACTCACAGTCACTTACCAGTGTGGCTAAAGCTCACCTGCCTAGGGATGACACCACCCACAGTGGACTGGGCCTTCCCACAGCAATGAACAACCACAGACATTCCCACAGGCCAATGTGATGGAGGCAATTCTTTAATTGAGGTTCTTCACTCTCTCCAAGGATGTCAAGGTGACAACAGAACTAACTAGGACTGTGGGAAGGGTCCATGGCACAGGTAAGATGGTCCTGAACAATAGCCCCAAACCTGCTGTTGATACAGAGTTTTCCTGGGGATGAGCTGTTGGTGGATGCTGCTTGTTTGTTTTCCCGGCTGTCCAGACCTGAAAGAACCACACAAAAACTGTATTAATTAAAACATTGCTTGACCAATCACTTAAGCATTTTGCTAGCTAGTCCTTATATCTTAAATTAACCCATTTATAGTAATCTGTATATTGCCACATGGTTATGGCCTACTGGTAAGGTTCCATCCAGCATCCTGCATCTGTCTCCTGTGGTGACTGCATGGTTTCTCTCTGACTCTGCCTTCTTTCCTTCTCTATCTGCTTGGAATTCCCACCTTGCTCTATTCTGCTAAGCCACTGGCCAAAGTAGCTTTATTCATTTAATCAATAAAAGCAACACATATACTGAAGGACTTCCCATACCAAGTAGCAAATGTTTTGGCAATGTTCAGCAAACGCTGTCTCTGCAAAGGTCTCTAGTGCTGCTGCTTCCACCAGAGAAGAAGGGCAAAGCTTCATCTCCAGAGAAAGAGTACCACAAAATCCTAGAACCTGAGGGCTTCATGGCAAGAATTCCTGAGTGAGTTCCTGGATATCAGAGGAGTGCAAGGGGGGCATGGGAACTGAAATTCAAGAAGACCAGTAGTTCGCAGGCCATTGCAGCCTTAAACAGATGAGTCTGGGTTAGCACTGGTAGGTACTGCAATAAGAAAGCAGAAGAGAGAACCTCTTGGAGTAAATGACTCCTTCCAACACTGGCTTCTCCCCAAGGAAACTGGACCAAAGTCCATCTTGCACAACGTCTTTTAGCTGAAGGCCATGTGATCACTAAGCCTTTAAACACTTGCCTGAGACAGCTCAATCTATGACTTATCCCCTATCTGTGTGTCTCTGACATGCTCCTTTCCCTTCATGTTCACCCAGGAAGACTGAGTTGTGAGTTCTTTCTTCCGTCCCTTTGAAACATAGCTTCTAGTCTAGCAGTCTATTTTCAGTTCCTGCAGTATAATATCCAGTGTAGGATCCCTGTTGCCAAGTCTTGATGGGCAAGAAAGGTCCAGCAGAGGAAGCACAGAGGGCCTAATCACACAGCCAGCCTCTCCTTGGACCTTTTCTTCAGCCCATCCCAATGTTTGGAAGGTTTCTTGGCTTAACTTTAGCAGAGTAGAACAGGGTAGGCTACATGTCATTCTTTAGCCTCCTAAACTAAAGTGTCTTGGAGTCATTTATAACAACAGACTTTTACTGCTCGGTGCTTGACTTAAGATCAAGGTACAGTAGACTTGGTGCCTAGTAAAGACTGTTATCTGCTTCAAGAGGACACCTTTCCTGTGTCCTCATATGGTAGAAGAGGGACACAAGACACTTTGTGTGCCCTTTGTAAGAGCACTAATCTCATTCCCAAGGGCATTTCTTTTATGACTTAGTCACCTCCCAACACCCTCCCCTCCCCCCAGGTCTTTGAGACAGGATTTCTCTATGTAACAGTCCTAGCTTTCCTGGAACTCACTCTGTAGACCAGGCTGGCCTTGAACTCACAGAGATCAGTGTGCCTCTGCCTCCCGAGTGCTGGGATTAAAGGTGTGTGCCACCACTGCTGGGCTTAAAAGTCCCCTTCTTCATGCACAAGAAACTGCTCTTCTCTGGATTGCTTGGTATGCTGTATGAACTGGACAGGCAGGATCCATAGAAAAGTGACTGCTGAACTTTCCAGAAGATGGGATAGTCTTTGAGGGTTCCTGCTTCACAGAAGAAGCTGCTAGACATTCTGCAGGACGCACAAGAAAGCAGCTGATGAACTTTGCCAAACAAGATAGGACAGATCTTCAAATATCCTGCTTCACAGAAAAGTCTGTCAGACTATAGATATTCATATAGATATCTATAAAGTCTATAGATATTCATCTATAGGATGAAGATGGATACCCCAACATTACAGAAGAACTTTGAGTGACTGTCCAGGTAGCAAGATGTCTCTGTCATTCTAGAGTTTTGGAAGTTGTAAGCAACTTCCTATTTACTTAGGTAATATCATAACCTTCAGGGGTCTCTGATGGAGTTGAAGACAGATAGTTATAGTTTTTCTTAGTTATACTTAAAGATATAATATAATATAATATAATACAAGATAAACTAGATATAAAACCTTAGACTCACAAAGATTAGATAGGTGATAGAACATTTTCTTTAATTTAGCCAGATGCAACTAGACTAAAAATTATAACTATAATTCTTGCTTGTTAACCATATTATATATGTGATTTTGCTATGTTAAAGTTAAAATCTTCCCTTTTAATTCAATAGAAAAAGGGAGATGATGTGGGATGTCCTTCTGTATATTTGTTGCTTTTATTGGTTGATGAATAAAGATGTTTTGGTCAATGGCTTACCAGAGTAAAACCAGGCAGGAAATCCAAATAAAGATACAGAGAGAGAGAAAGAAAGAGAGAGAAAGAGAGTAGGAAGTGTTGAGAAAACGCCATGTAGTTGCCAAAGGAGAAAGCTATCAGAACATTACCAGAAAACCACAGAAGCCACAGCCTCATGGTGATACACAGATTAATAGAAATGGGTTAATTTAAGATTTATGAGCTGGCTAGAAGTATACCTAAGCCATTGGCCAAACAGTGTTGTAATTAATAAAGTTCTATGTGATTATTCACGTCTGGGTGACCAGGAAAGTGTAGTCTCCATCTGACTCTGTCTCTTGTTAGCTTGAGCTGTGGTTATTGGTGGAAGGAGGCTGAGGTTGGACCATGAACCCATCTCAGAAAGTGGGGAGGAAGCAGGTAGCAGGGTTGTGGGAAGTGAAGCTCCGAACCTCTCTCTTATGATCCACATACTTTAGTTAGACAAATCATAGGTTCAAAAGCAAACTAATTATGAACTGCAACACTTGGGAGGCTGAGGCAGGAGGATAACAGTGAGTTTGAAGTTGCACAGTGAGACTTTTTTTATAGGTTTTTTTTTTTAGATTTATTTATTTATTATGTATACAGTGTTCTGTCTATCTGTATGTCTGCAGGCCCGAGGAGGGTATCAGATCTCATTACAGATGGTTGTGAGCCACCATGTGATTGCTGGGAATTGAACTCAGAACCTCAGGAAGAGCAGTCAGTGCTCTTAACCTCTGAGCCATCTCTCCAGCCCCATAGTGAGACTTTTTTCTCAAAACAACAACAAAGAAATAAAACTTAGAAACCAAACAGGTGCAGAACTAGAGAGTTGGCTCGGAGGGTAAAGGTGCTTGCCTGATGATGTGAGTTCCATCCTCAGAACTGATTCAACCATGCAGAAAAGAGTGGCATGTGCCTCTAATTCTATCACCCTTTGTGGAAGATGGGAGTGAGAGACCAGCACCTGTCTGGAAACTCACTTGCCAGCATGCAGCAATAAAACAAGTAATCATATCTCCCAAACAGGTGGAGGGAGAGAACAGATGACTCCCCCAACGTTGTCCTGGAACCACCACATACACGGTGTGAAGTGCTTGCTCCCATCTCCTAAATATTTTTTTTGTTTTTTTGAAAATTCAGAAAGGGTTTGGAGAGATGATTCAGCAGTTAGGAGCACTTGGTTCCTTAAGTAAACCCAGGTTCAGTTCTCAGCACCCACAGGGCGGATCACAGTCATCTGTAGCTGCAGTTTCAGGAGTTCTGCTGTCCTCTTCTGACCTCGCATGTACCAGGCATGCAGGTGGTACACATACATAACTTGCAGACAAGACACTCAACACCCACAAGACATCTAAAATTTTAAAGAATTATTAATAATAGTTCAAAATAGCAAACGCTTCTGAAAACAGATCTCTGGGCAACTGTCCCAGCCACAGGTCCACAGGGGGCCCTGCGTCAAGGCTAAGAAACAGTGTCAAATAGGGGAGAGGGGCTCTTACACAAGCCAGCTTGAGCAGACAGCTGAGTCTATAAGCTGGGCTGAGCACTAGCGGGAGAGGGTCCTTAAAAGGCAGACCGAGGAGGCAGACATCCTTCTTGCAGGAACTGCTGGAGAGCAGAGAGAGACAAGGTGAATTTGGCCTCTTAGGAGGATTAATTTCCCCTGAGTTTTCTTTCAGAAGCTGATGCTTTTCAATTCTTCCTTTGTGTTGTTTTTCAGACATGAAACTTGAAGGAGTCCTTTTTGCATCAAAGGCCGGCCTGGCCCGGGAGGCCTCGCTCGCCAGCGTTTCCCTACTGTCCCCTGCACGGCATCTGCTGCTGGAACTTTTGACATTTTGCTCTTCCTCGATTCTGGATTTTAATGCTAACAAATTAACGTGGAAGATGTCGGCAGAAAATGAGTTTCACAGGGACAGGGCAGAGTGACCTTGTGTTTGGGTCGGGAGGAGAGGAGAGCGGCAGACGCGCTAATTGCTGAATGATAATGAACCTTTCTATGATCCTCTGAGGCCCTCAGAGGAATCAAAACAAAATGAAATTAGAGCAGTAATATCAAGCAGTCAGCTTTGCAGGGGCACAACAGGTGGCGACGAAAGCCAAGCCTCAGTTTCCCTGAAAGGGTGGGAGACCGGATATGACTTCTGAACCGAAAGGTCTGTGAATGACTTTTTATTGGTTTTGCTCTTATCATAGCAGTTTATGAAAATAGACATTTCCATGGGGGACACATATGTGCAGGCATACACTCATGAACACAGGTGCATAAGTGCACACACACATGTATAAACATACACACTCACCTCCATGGATGCAAACATGCACAGATACATAATATACTCTTTTTTGCGGGGGTGGGATATAATTCCCCCTTCTCTTTCTTCCCTCCAAACCTTCCCCTGTTCTCCTCCTTGTTCTCTTTTGCATTAAGGACTTCTTTTTCGTGTGTGTGTGTGTGTGTGTGTGTGTGTGTATTCCTAGATACATTACTATAACTTCCTCAGTCCATGCCATGTTATCTGTATGTATATATTTTCAGGGATGTTCTTTCGGTATTGGATAAGCAATTGCTATGCTCTTCCCTGGAGAAGACTATTTCTTCTGTTCTCACCACTTCCTTAGTTGCCTGTGGTTTTCGCCTAGGGTTGAGACCTGGACAAATGAGCTTACCCACTTCCACATTAGCTTGTCTATTGATGGTGTCTTCATTCAGGTCATATTTAGGTAGCTGTATTAGTGAGGCTTCATGGGTGTAGCTTGCGACATTTCTAGGGCACACAATCTCTGTCATCTGCAATCTTTTTACCCCTTCTTCTGATATGCTTTCTAAGCCATCGGTGCAGGAGATGTCTTGTAGATGTATCAGTTGGGAGTGGACTCCATAACCCTGCATTCTTGTCAGTTCCGGTTTTCTGTGTTGACCTCCATCTGTTACAAAGAGAGGTTTTCTGATGAGGGTGAGACCTACATCCATCATGTTATAAGGACCCACCAGAGATGACCGCCAGGCACAGCTTATGGTCTATTGAAAGTCTATTATAACCAGCCAGACTACACTCAGATAATTAGTACCTAAGGATAGAGTCTAGTGTTTAGGGGAAGGGCTTTTTAAAGGCAAGAACTACACCCTGGTATCGTGCTTGGCAGCTGCAGGGCTAAGTTTTGTGCAAGCAAGCAGTTTAACATAAGCCAAGACAAGTTAGCTGGGGCATCTTGACCTCAGGTTTCTAAATAGAGTTGGGTAATTTCCCATGGAATCCTCTGTCAAGGAGATCAGATTCTAGTTAAACCTAAAATGGACTGAGCAAGAGTACAATATGGAAAACCCTCTGCACTTTCTCGTCCTGCCATGGTCCGTGGATATAAATATATAGAATGTAGTTAGGGATTATGCTGATTTATGTAGGTTGTCCTCCAATATCCATGATTTCACTAGCCCTGAAGTTGTTCAGGTTTCCAGTACCAGGCGCGATCTCCTTCTTGTCTTGAATTCAGTTAGGGAGCTGTTGGTTAATGTCAAGGTATACATGTCACTACTTCACCCTGAAGATTATTATACCATGGTTGTCATAGATGCCATACCTAGGTAGGCTATTGGCTATTTCTCTCCTTTGGAAGCTTGCATGACCCATTGTGATACCATTAATGCTTGTCCTCAGGGAGGAGGCTCTCAAGTCAGATCTAGCTTGGGTTGTTTATGTCCCAAGTCTGATGTGTATGGTGTCTTCAGCAATAGGAAATCACCTTCCATATCTGGGGAAGTCACCAACGGCAACAGCAACAGTCTACAGTGTTTTGGGAGTTTCTTGAGCAACCTTGGCCAACAACTTCCATATGTGTTAAGCACAACCTCAAATTTACCTTTGCTCAAAAAACCAAAACAAAACACTTCCTCTTGATCAATGATTAACACGAATATAGACAAGTATGCAGCTGGACTATAGCTCATTGCTCTGGATATTGACGTATTATTGCCCTCAACAGCATTCACTATATACTATACTAGCACCCATTACCCTTTAATCATTATTGTATTTTAAAGCAGAATTCTTCCATGCCACCAAAGCTGGTCTGGAACTTGTTGTTCTTTTGCCTCAGTCTTCTAGATATTTCTCTTCTTAGGCTAAAACTCTCTAGTGTCTGTTCCTGATATGGGGCGCAGGGAGCTACAGCAAGATAACAAACAGATTTGCAGTATTTCTTTAATGAGCATAAAAGGCGTGAGGGATATGTCTTGTGTACCCTCAATTTCCTCTGCCTCCATAGTGAAGAAGGGTCCTCCGTGGTCTGGAGCTCAGTGCCCTCCTAATTTCTATACTTTCATCAGTCCTTGTGTGTCTCAATTAGTAAGACAGGTGTTCTCTCTGCTCCTCAAAGGGAAACCTTGAGGTTTTCATCAAGGTGAATGCTCTTCGCGACCCTCACCTTCACTAATCACCACTGCAGATCAAGAACTTGCAGGTCAATTCTAATTGCTTGATTTTTCTGACCTGAGGTCATTTATCTCCTTTTCTGACTTTATCTTCTGCCTTCCTACCCTTCTGGGTTCTTCCACCAGCCCTCTGGAGCGCGGATTAGTTACTAAAAAGACAGCCCATGTCTCTACCTCTCTAGAGTCTTCCAATTTATTTCTTTACCTGAAGCTCGGCTCTTAACCACTGAGTCATCTCTCCAGCCCCTATTGGGAGCATTTCTATGCCATGATTTCTCCACTTGAGATTGACGCCTGGTAGGGTATCGAGTTCTTGCTACGTTCTGCTCTTGTGAATATCTGTGAGTTCAAGGTCAGTCTGATCTGCAAAGGGAGCTCCAATACAGGTTCCAAAGCTGCAGAGAAAACCCCATCTTGAAAAACTAAAGAAAAATAAAATAAAATAAAAAAAAACCAAAAAAGGGGGGTCTAGGTGGAGTCCATAGACTAGTGTTTGAGAGACCTCACTGATGAACTATTTTGCCTGGCACTTGAGGATTTGAAAGTGTCTGACAAAGGTGTTCGGACCCAATTCAAGACAGTTTTCATTTACACACCGTTTAAAAGCACATTCAGAATGATTCCCGCTTTTGAAAAGTGCCTGTTATTATTCTATGGTGTGTAACAGTGTAGAAAGAATGACATGGTTAATATAATAATATGATCTTCAGTCATTTTTATGAGACATTTGCATCCTTTTATGCAACACCTAATTGACAGTTGGCCCTTCGGTCCTCTCCAATGGAACAACCTATTAAATGCAATTTATGGCCACTGTTTTCTAAGTCAGTTAAACGACATGAGATGAAAATCTCCTTTAAATGATGCTCGGTGGACTCTTTCTCTGGTTGGAAGAATCAGATTTCAGAAAGGAGCTATTTATTGTGCAGCTGAGAAGGCATGCCTAGGACCTACGTATGGTACATCCGAGCGCTCCTTTTAGGAGTGGGTGCCCTGCTTTGATGAAATGCATGAATCCCAGCCTTACTGTTGCTCTTCTCAAGTGTGGCAAAGGCCTGGCAGAGAAGCACTTGTTCTGGAGGTGGGGGACGCATCTGTTCATCCTATGTATGGTCTCTGGTGCACGTTGGCTTCCTCAACTGATCGCCCTTACTTCCTGTCCTGCTCCTGCAGGGTTGGCTCCAATGAGAAAGTGCTCCTGGCTTGTTTGTGGATAGTCTAGCCCTTGGTAAGCACTTAGCAACTCTTCACTGGATGAATTAATGAACCAATACACTGATTGCCTTGGCCTTATGCTTACTGTGATTTTGATATAATTTTTACCATCTGAAACCTGTTAAATATTTAGCTTACAAATCAGTGCATTCATAATGAAGCCCAAGAATAGATGCTCATTTATTTTCAGTAAGTGAAGGAGCTATTGTAGGCTACGCACTGCCCTTTTCTGCAGCTGATTACTGGGGAACGTCGTTAGGTAACCATGTCTTGGCAGCCACCATGATCCTGCCTTGAGGTTGCTAGCAGATCCAGCCTTAGGCAAATGCAGAACTGAATGCATTCTCATGCTCTCTGATCTGTTCATCAGTAATAGATGAGGGAAATGTAAGATTGATTGGTCTTTCTCTGAATTGCTTTTTCGATATCATCTTTTTCTGTCTTCTTACAGAAGTGAGCAATGTATGGCTATTTATGTCATTTGTTTCTCTCTGAAACCTAAAACCAAGTCTCTGGATTCATGAACAAGAGCCTGGGATAGTTTCTCCAAATTCCTGGTTAAGCTCTTTGTCCAATGCCTTTCAGAGTTACTGAATTTGTTTGATCCACATGATTTCAACTTGAGGTCTTTTGTCTTAGGAATATTGATTGTGGACAATGAAGTAGAACATTACACGTGCCATAAGACTGGTCTTAGAAATCTGTGAAGGAACCAGAGAGGCCTTCCAGAGAACTCACGCTAGTAGCAAGACAGATGAAGAGGATTACGTGTAGCTAGAATGGTCTTTCTCTGTATCTTTCTTTTTCTCCTTTATTTTATAAATGTAAGTAACAGCAGATTTCAAGGCTGCATCACGAGGAAAGTGTAAAAGGGGTCAGGGTAAGAACCCAAGAGGAGAATATCTGAGTTCAGTTCTTTCACGGAGGTGAATTTATATTCTACATAATCCTAGGTGGAGCATGAATTGTAACACACACTGATAATAAGCTATTAAGAAAAAGAAATGTCCAAGGTGGTCAGTATATCTGCAACAAAAGAAAGGGTTAAATGGGGTATAAGGCATGGTCAAAGAGATGTGGGTAGAACTTTGTTGTCAAGTGGGGATTATGGTGAGAAAAATGTTTTAAGATGAAGGATGCGAAATTAGATAAGGTGATAGGCGGACTTAATACTCAATATGAGGAAATGGTTTTGTGGGATACCTGTACACTGTGTGAAGATGTATCATGTGATTGGTTTAATAAAGAGCTGGATGTCCAATAGCTAGGCAGGAGAGGTTGGGCAGAACTTCCAGGTAGAGAGAGGAACTCAGGGTTAGAATCTAGGCATGCAAGAGATGCTAGCAAGATGGGAACAAGTCGGTTGTACAGAATGGGAGAGAGATAAAAACTCACATGACAGAGTGTAGATTAATAGAAACAGGTTCTTATAGGAACTAGATGGGGACAAGCCTAAGCTCAAGGCCAAACTTCACAATTAATAATAAGTCCCTGTGTCTTTATTTGGGGACTGGCGGTTCTATAAGAAAAGCTCACTAAAAAATCCTATGACCTAAAGTTTCCGTCCTTGACTTTTGTGTCAACTGAATGCTGAAAAGCAGAGTCAACATGTATTTAAAGTGCCCCATGGTGAGGGAGGGGTAACCTATACCAGACAATGTGCTTCTATCTGAAATCAAAGCATTTTGGAAGTCAAGAGTGATTGTGCCATCTTCAACCATGGTATCCTAGCCAGTCCCTGCATGGTTCCTGATTCTGGCTTCAGATACTAATGACTCGCAGCCTAGGGACGAGCATTCAAACTGTCACGGCACCGACAGTAACAGTGGCCCATGTTACTGAGCATTACGTCCCAAGCACTGTCTTAGGCATTTAAAGAATATCGTCCCACTCAAACTCACAGTGTTGGGTGAAAGATTATATTATTGTCCTTCCTCACTCAAAATGTCCTCCAGTATCCTGCTTTTATAATCAAGAGATGTGAGGGTTTTGTGTGTGTGTGTGTGTGTGTGTGTGTGTGTGTGTGTGTATGTACACGCGCGTGTGGTTTATCAAGGCCTTTGTCATGTGTCAGAACTGGATTCAAATCAAAGAAATTCGTTCAATTAGCAGAGCCAGGAGGCTGTCTTCTTGTAGCTCCACTCTTGACCATTTGTAAAGTGGCTTCCCGACAGGACATCTTCAAAACCAGATATAGGGAGAGGGAGACAAGATGAGATTCCTAGAGTCTCAGTTTCAGCCAATGTTTGAGTGGCTGCAGACACCTCCTCCCAAATATGGATGCTGAAGATCCGGCAGAGCCCAGCTCACGCAGCTTGGCAAAAGGGTCCAGACACTGGAGAACAAAGCCTCCAAGGTGTTCTGGTGGGCAGCCAAGGACATATCCGCAGGTAGCCGATCTGCCCTTAAGGAAGGCATGCATCTTCCTCTGTCTCCTAAGACTTGCTCATGTAAACATTCACATGACATAGACATGTGACTCTAATGATTTCCAGTATTTTCCTGGTGGCTTTGTTCTAGTCATGGCACTAAAGTGGGACCCTGTGGTCTGAGATAGTAGCTACAAAGCCACCTCTC